GGGGGGGTTCATCTGCATAGATCCACAGGACTCAGATGGTAAACGGCTAGAAAGGAAGGGGCGAAGCACGAAGTGTGGGCCTGATACATCCGCTGCTGTCTTCAAGGGAAAGTAGTTCTGGAGAATTTAAGCAAAAGAGAGTAAACTGGGGGGACCTAACGTTTGAAAATCTGAAAAAAAGTGTAGACTTCCATGTGAAATTCTACTCTGATGTGTGGGTAAATGCGTGATGTGAGTCAGTAAGCTGTTAATGAGAAAAAGGAGGCGGGGCCAAGAACAATTTGGAGCGGAAACTCCAATCTGTCAGTCGCTGATCATCAGAGGCAACCATGATTAGCTTTTATTTTTGGTATATCACTCGTTGCTCATGGTCTCAGATTTGAATATTGTGGGTAAATCTGTGGGTATAGAAAAAGTATTCTTCATCCCTTCACTTCCCTGGTAACAACTATGCAACAAAAAAAAAGGAACAAAATGGGTGGATCAGCCCTTTAAAACTCCTCCCACTCTGACACTAACACAGCCCTTTGCTAGCCTTTGAGAGATAGCGGTGGATCAGAGCGTCTAGGGGTATTTAAGGGTCGACGGACTGATTGATTGTTGATTGGCTCGCTGGTCACATTCTCTGCGACACAGACAGTTGTGAAGATGCCACAAAGTGGGACACTCACACCTGCTGCTTCCTCTATATTGCTCCATTCCCAGGTTCTGCCTCACTGGGGCGTACGCGCGGCAGAGAGGCACTCAAAGATGTGGGGCCTCATTTATCAAAGCGGGCGTGGGAGAAGTTCCAAATGAGTGCCTGGGATGAGTTTATTAGTAGTGTTCCTGCTGTTATTTTACATTACATTCTCTACAGCTTCTCCCCTTTTTTCTCATCCATGTTTTTGTTTGGTTGAATGTGTAGTGCTAATAGTTTTTCTAATATTATCTACCTCATGATAAGGTCTACAATTATCCTTGTAGAATGTTCTGGTGGTAAGAACAACTCGTGACACTGGCTCATTACCTAGGTCCACCATCTTTGGGCACAGGATATATTTATTTAGTTACTTTGTCTTTGCATGTAAACAGCAAAAGGAATTTCTGAATTCTATACAAAAGGGAGATGTCTTACAAGTCCAACTTCATTGCTCTCTTTGATAACATGTGGTTAAATGTAGCCACATTAAAAAACAGGAACCAGTTACATTCAAATGTAGATAATTTTTCACTTACTCCCATTGCGAGATATGTGCTACATTTAAGTGGTGTTAAAGAAACAGAAGGACGACTTCCCTTCTATGGAAATGGGAGTTTCCGGAAGAATTTGAATGCAATAGTTTTTTTCTCCCCCTTCTGAGAAGTGGAGGTGGACGTAGCTCCCATCCTCTGTATTCATTAGGCTAAGTCCATTTGAAAAGATAATAAGTTGGATTCTATGTGTAGGAACAAGTGTACGCGTGCTTGATAAATGAGGCCCCTGTTGTTTTGGCATCATGCAACTGTTCTCAAGTGTCCCTGCACTCTCACTACCGTATGAGGTCAAGTGAACGCTCCACAAAGCAGAGAACTCCACTTCCTGTCCTCCTGTAGCGTCACTACCTCCATCGGTCCATGGCTCCTAACTTGCTCAATGGCCCAACAGGTTAGGAGCTATAGCGAGCCGTTCTCAGAGCACTTAAGGTCCTAAAACGAGTTGGCATGTGCCGTCGCTAAGGGGTCGAGATCTAGTGGGACAAAATACAAGCGGAACATCAGAATATAGAAGAATCACAGACATTTTGTTTTCCAGAGAAACAATGAGTGATGGATGAGCTGGTCCTGACAGGCCCTCGAGCAACATCACATTCAAGGTAGTAAGAAACGCAGAGTAGGAAGTGGAACACAGTTGATATGTCAAAAAACATTCTGGCACCTGAAAGAAATGCAGCAAAAATCTAAAGGTAATGATGAGCGAGAGCGCACACTCATCAAAGTCCGTTTTTCCTCTGACGTGCCATCCATACACGGGAGGGGAGGAGGGAGGAAGGAAGGGAAGGAGAGGAGGGACAATATGCTAGAAAACATTTGGATGGAATAGAAACAATGAGCAGGTTTTAAATGGCAAGAGGTCAGTTCTTTAGGGGGGTGGTTATCAAACATCTTCGGTCCGTGTCCAATCCCAGCACCCTTAGCTCCAGTTAAAACCCTCCCACTTCCTGTGGTTCATGGTTCATCGGCGGCAGATTGTAGAGGCGCCTCCGGCACGTCTCGCCAGATGTGTCCCTGGCAGCCCTGTGAAAGCCATAATCCTCACGAAGCAAGCACCCCAAGGTTCACTCCTCATTAGAAGCACTCTCCTCTGGCGAGAAAATGGCAGCCACGCCCACCAACGTGGAATTATGGGAGGCTGAAATGATGATGACAGTGTGTAGGAGGACGAGGGCCAGCAGGCAGATCTTCAGCCGCCCGCTGCACAGTCTCGCGGTGGCAGCGGAGGTGACCGAGGCCCCCTCGGGCTGGCAGGAAGAAGCAGTCCTTTTTAGTGTCCCGCCTGAGGGGCTGTCCGTTTTGGAGTCCCATCGGACGTCGCAGCAGTTCGCCTCACTGTCCGGTACATGATCTGCCAGGAGCCCTGAGGGGGAGAGGACAGAAATATGCTGATGAGGATCTGAAGCAACCGAGTCAACGGGAGTCCGTTTCATATATCAATACAAATAAATAGGTATTAATAAGGCAGGAATTTTGATTGGTATTAAAACATGTCAGCTGTTGTGGTAAGGTCTAATAAAGTGATAAAATGCAGGTTGTATCTTATACTGACTGTCTTCAGCAGAAATGTTAGGAGTAATTAAAAACGACTGCTGTTCAGTTAAAAACAGCGTCTGTTAACACCGACATGTAAATTGCATTGAGCAGCCTAATGGCATGGCAGTGATGCTCTGCCTGCAGCGGTGCAGAAACACCACCTCAGTGTGTAGCTGTGACCACGAGGCGGAGCAGCAGACACACTGACCCGCCGCTGAACCCTCATCCAGTCTAGGACACACAGAGGCTGACGCGGTAAGGCCCTGACTCTGAAGTCTCCACCTGCCAGCTGTCACTCACCTGCAGGGCAGACTGACTGCTGGAGGCACCCCCCCCTCAGGTCTTTAATGACTAAAGATCAGGGAGGGGGGGTGATGAGAGCAGAGGTACGATTGGCTGATCTGATGTGTCTATAGACTCATCAGGAGTTCAGGAGAAACACTGTTTATGTATGGACTTCTTCACGACCTGTATCCAGGTTTTTAGGAGCTGTATGAATGGCTCATTTATTATGATTTTATATTTTACTTTAAAAAAAAAAAAAATCCTAATATTTCCTGTGAGCCCTCCCTTTCAGTCCCAATAGATTATTACAAGATAAACACAGTTAATGCTGATAAATAAATGACTAATTACATTTAAATCCAGGCAAACTCTACATGATATAGTTACACTTGTTTTTTTGCTATCAATTATTATCAATGCTCTTTGTTGTCATGAGTGACACATTGGACCTATTCATGAATTAGCTGTGATATGTGCACTTTTAAAATAAATGTAACTGTTTTATCTCAAAAGGGGTGATTCAAAGGAATCTCCTGCTCTCCTGGAGAAGGTTTTCCGTGTCAGTATAGCCTTAAAGCTGAAAAAACGAACAATAAATACAATTCCCAATGTCTCTACAGTCCCCTAGCCCCTAAAATACTGATGACCTGACATATTTCCAGCGTAGCTCCACCCTGCTAACTCCGCTGTGTCTGTGCTGATGCAGCTGTGTCTGGACTACAGACACCTTGATTGTTGGCACACAGCCAGCTCCTCTGAGGGAAAGTCCTTGATGATTGCTTTTGTATTAACTGCAGTAAATCTTCAGAGATGAGCCAAATTCACTTCATCAATGCTTTGTTAAAACGTCCTCTACTGTGCTCGCCACTAGATGTCATCAGAAAGCCTTCGGAAAAACCTCTCACCTGCTTGTTCCTGGAGGAATACCATCCAGTAACACACATAAAATGCTGAATTAAAATTAGGAGCTTTTTTCTCCGAGGCAAGGCCACACGAACACCCACGCACAGGCATGTTTCCTGCTGCTGCTGCTGCTGCTGCTGCTGCTGCTGCTGGACAGAGAGTGGGCTCTGACCTGTGCAGATGAAGCTGGGGCTGCCTCCGTGGATCAGGTCGTCGTTGTCGGGCAGAATGAACGGGCAGCTTTGCTGGACCTCCAGGCAGTACTGCTGGCAAGATACCTTCCTCTGACAGGACAGCTGCGTGGTGGGGAAATACTGAGCGCACAGCCAGGGCTTATAGGCCATCTAGAGAGGGAGACGAAGAAGAAAAACATATTACATGCTGCTGCAATATCCATTTGAGGACAATTGTCTTAAGCCTTCCTGTGTTAATAGAACATAACTATTCTCTGAAACACAGCACTTCATGCACCTTTGGGACGCTGAATCAATGCTACCGCAGAGCTAACAGAAAGTGAACTATGCCAAATACAGAGGAATGTGTTGCTTATATATGGGGGATGGATTATGAAAGGCTGCTGCAGCAGGATCACTTTTACAATAATGAAGAATAAACAAGAGCGGAAATGTACTAGCTCTTCATCTGCAGATTATTTGATCAATTAGTCAAGTGGTGTATAAAGAAGTCGATAGCTCATTACCCTAACCCTTTATTGTTTCTCTGCAGAGCTACTGAGTGCTTTATCAAAAAATGCACTTCCAAATCACCAAACAACGTCATCAAATTCGAGTTCCTGTCCTCTTCCAGGTTCTTTTCGCCAGGCAGAGTGCAATACAGAATGCACAGACGTATGTGCATAAGGAGACAGATGGTGACATGTAATAGCCAAAGCCTGAGGCTCGGAAAGCTTAGCAAAACAAAATGAACCAAGGGCAAACCACAGTCTGGATTCACTTAGTCATTTGCTTTTTACTGGGATTAACACTGAAGGAGGGACATACAGCAAAAAGCACAGAAATCCATCGCACACGGACTGCGTTTGGATTCATTTTTGAAGCCTCTTGCGAACAAAATAAGGGCTGGTTGGCTTAAAGAGGAACATTGAGACTTAATGAAGTTCATACAAAGGGAAACAAGCAAAAAGAAATCAACAACACAAACTTTAGAGCAGATAAAAACTCTTTGTGTTGCAGATTCATGGAGCAGAATACAGGACCTTGTTTACTGGGTGTCTTCTAAAAGTGAAGGACAAATTGAAAATGTAGGCCTATATTCAATAAAAAACAACATTTGAGCGTTAAAAAAATCTGTCTATATAGGTTCATTTGAATCATATACACGTGACACTTTTCTCCATGTATGCTACTGGAAATCAAGATGTCAAAAACACGAACAGCTACTACAAGAGTATATTACTGTACAGTACCCTTATCTGGATATCACATTAACATAATCCTTTACTAAAGTGTAAATAACATTAAATAAAGTATTGTGAGAAGCGGACTGGCGATTTTGAATATTACAATAATATAAGAGGCCATGCAAGCAGCTCTATGAGGCTGTGGTTAGTGTCACAACTTGGCTAACATGTTCTACATGTTCACCATCTGTGTTAACATGTTAGCTATTAACACTAGCTAAGTAGCAACCCAAAGGTACAGATGAGACTCCATATGAACAAAAGCAACTAATTAGCACTAAACTGAAACTACTAATTTGCCACATTTTCTAGAGCTACACTGTAGAAAAGTACAACACGTTCATATGTATGTGATAATGAATCCTTCCTTTACCACTATAACAGCTTCCATTGTATGGAAGGAAATTGCTGCCACGCCAGAAAAGGGAGATTTGTTCCATGTTGAATATTAAAAGGTTAATGTTAAAACAATATATTGTGAAATTATTCCATCCATCCATCCATCTTCTCCCGCTTATCCGTGGTCGGGTCGCGGAGGTAGCAGTTCCAGCAGAGAGCCCCAAACTTTCCTTTCCCTGGCCACATCAACCAGCTCTGACTGGGGGGTCCCAAGGCGCTCCCAGGCCAGCGAAGAGATATAATCCCTCCACCTGGTCCTAGGTCTACCCCTCGGTCTCTTCCCAGCTGGACGTGCCTGGAACTCCTCCCTAGGGAGGCGCCCAGGTGGCATCCTAACTAGGTGCCCGAACCACCTCAACTGGCTCCTTTCGACGTGAAGGAGGAGCGGTTCAACTCCGAGTCCCTCCCGGATGACTGAACTTCTCCCCTTATCCCTAAGGGAGACACCAGCCACCCTGCGGAGAAAACCCATCTTGGCCGCTTGTATCGTTTGTGAAATTGTTATGACATATTAATTTATAAGTATATGATATTTATCTTTCCTAATTTTCCTATTTCACAATATGGGTTATCACGCGTAAAACATTCCCATAATAACAAGATAAATAGTCTACTGTTAACACGAAAAGTTTCTCTTTATAATGCATCTTATCGAAAACATGTTGTTATAGTCTGAAAATATCTTGTTATAACATGAAAATATCTTGCATACATATATATATATATATATATATATATATATATATATATATATATATAAACGTAACAATATTTTTTTCTTTTTCTGGCTTTTGCGTTTCTGTACTGAAATGAATGGTTAATACGGTAACCCCTTTTGGTCGACATATACACAAATGCTGTATATGTGGGACCAGCAGCATGTTGCCTATTGTGCCCTCAGTAAACGTTAAACAGGAGAGGTCTATCCTTTAAATAAAAAAAAAGGAAATGTGGCGCTACTAAGTGATGAAAGGTGTTAAGAGAGTCATTTCACTACCTGACACATTCAAGCAAGAGGGCGACAACAGCCCTTTCCAAGTCATGAATCACACACAAAACAAACCATTAGTGCTGATCAGGTAATTACCTACAGGGAGGATAATAAAATGCTCCACACTGAGAGGTTTACACATACAAAAGAAATATAAGGAATAATAACTTGTTTGGAAGCCATTGAACACCTAATTCTTCATGAATAAAAAATGGTAGACTAAGTTATAATCGGAGTTAAAGCCTTTATCTATTAAGAGTTTAACACCAATAAAAAAGCCCACCTGCAATCATTTCAATTCAAGTGCTGCTTATTGGTGCACTGAAATACGCAGTAGTAGGTTGAAAAAGGTTATCTGAAGAAAATAAACGGCAAAAAATGTAACTATTATTCTTTTTTTTATGAGTGGCTTGACAATTCAAGCTACATTTATTGTCTGTTGCTAACAGTTAGCATGTAGGTAATGATAGCCACCTACGCAAACGTCAAGGAGACGGCACAGCAGAGAACACACTGCACACAGTAAATTATCCCCTTTGTTAAATAACCACAGAGGAACAACTATAGCTTGGAGGTTGGGTTGTCATCGTGGTTTTAAAGTGTCCACATGTTTTCCAGTACAGTACTCCAAAGGACTTTTAAAAAAGGTAAATGTGCCCCTCCTCCATCCACCCTTCCATTTTCTGTTAAACAACATGGGGTCTGATTTGTGTCCTGTTTAGACCGCCATCCAAAGATAACAAACACTGCACAGGCAATTATAATAATTATAATAATCTGATTATGTTTGTGATGGGAATGATAATGATGGGAACAGTAAGGACCCAAATGCTTTGCAAAATCAAATAAATTGCAGACACGCATGACTTCCTGTTGATACAGGGGCAGTGTAGAATACAGTGTGCTGTAGGGGTTAACACTGTTTTCCAGGAAATACATTCATCCTTCAAAAAAAAGGTCAACACTGTGTGGATTTTAACCCCTTGATTGATCTTCATAGTATGCTCATGGTGCAGGGTAAAAAGAAGATATTCTTTCTTAATAAACAGTGAAACGTCTTTGTATGTTACAGGGTAATGTGGATAAATTGCACTGACAGCTTTATTCCCATGATCCTCTGCTTTGGCAGCGGTGGTCTCGCTCTACAGCTGACTGTGTGTAGAGAAGCTGGCTCGAGAAGACCCAGATCAAATCACTCAGATCATTGATTACATGTGTGCTTTAAGACTTTAGGTGTACTGTGGAGGTGTTTAATCCACGGCAGGGGATTTTCTAGTGAGGCGACTTCCTGTCAAATGGCTGATGGTTAATTCCCGATGATTTAGCATAAATTCTTGCCAGCCAAGAGATAATCTGTCTAGGGATGCTGCGGCTATCAAAAGAGAACCAAAACAATACGATCGCAGTCAGACAGGAAATCTGGGTCCTCCTGAAGATGTGTGCTGGCAGTTGCCAAGGTAACGGCTTTTTCTGCTTTTCATTAGAGCTCAATGGGTACTGCCCCACTCTCTGTTGGTTTTCTGTTAGTGTGCACATGTTTAAGCGTGCAACCGGGTCTATGTGTGTAAATGTGTGCGTGCTTGTGCTCAGCGTGAAAAGGGAAGCGTATGAGAGCAAATTGAGTTAGTGAGGAAGCAGGCCTGGAGTCTGATTTGATCAGTCTAATGTGTGATCAGTGTGAATGGGAACCTGGCACTCAAAAAGCCTCTGTCGCCATGCAGCTTAGTCTGCTTTAAACGATGTCCTGAAGCCCAGAGACACAGACAGGAAAGACACCAAGCTGGCGTCCATTTCCACCGGGGCTTCATGCCTGCAGCTGATTTCAGCCCCAGCCTGTACACAAGACGTTTCACTTCACTTCAGATTCTACTTCAGCCTAAAAATCATACATTTCAAAGATAAAATCTGTTGTATGGACATTTACACAGAGATGTAAAATACGCCAGCAAGGCATTTTCTGCCAGTGCTTTGAAGCCTAAAAATAGCTTTTAAAAATTAAGATTCAAATGCTGACGCTTTGGCAGATAAGTGTCAGCAGAGCTGGCATCTGAATTTCACCACAGTGATTATTACTATTATATAAGAAGCACACTGATGAACGAGCCATGGCCAGCTTCTTATTTTCTGTATGCATGCAGTCCTATTACCATCCGAACATAGCTTACTACTCAGAACGTCAGATCTTTACTCTTGGTTTGCTGTATAAAGCTTATTACTTCCCTTTATATTTTGTAAATTCACTTCAAACAGTGACATTTTTGTGCCCAGAAACACCATAAACTACAGCAAATGCTCTTAAATACAATTTAAATACAGTTGATGTTTGAATTCATGACATTTGTATTGTAACAAATAACAACAACAACAAATGTTACACCACTGCTTTTGGATATTAAAAGATATTTCCTATCTGGTGAACAGTGTCTAAGTTTTAAAGGTCACTTATCATGCTATTTTTAGGCAATAGCATAGGTCTCAGATATATAAAAATATATAAAAAACATGTCTATGAAGTGTTTTGCTCAAAATACCAA